CGAAACCGTGAACCCCAAATCCTGAAAACTGAACCCTAACCCTTAAACTCTGAAACCCTAAAACTCCAAGCCCTAAACCCCAAAACCCTCCTAAGACTTTGTGCACTTAGGGCTCAGGGTTTCCAGATGACCAGGAAGGCACGCGCCTTCGGACGATCGACATGCTGCCAGACCCGATGAACTCACCTAAGGCGTGGGGTTTGGGGCCTTAGTACTTCGGGTTTAAGGTTTAGGGTTTAGCGGGGGTTGGGTGGCTCAGATTTGTGGTTTCTTGGTGGTTTGCGTATTCAGAGGTCTTCATCTCCTCACCGACCCCAGTCTTGATGCTTGTCAACAACTACCTTCAAAAAGGGTTCGGTGTCTTCTTGGTGGCTCCTGTGAAAGCTCTGCTTCGTTCCTGCCATGCAGGGTCTAGGGCTGATTCTTACTGAGCTTACGAAGGGAAGAGGCTTATAACGCCAAAGAAGGCTGCGCAGCTCGGAGGTGCCCTGAAACCTGAAACCTACCAAAACGGACCAACACCGATGCCCTAAACCCTAGCCCTAAACCCTAAACCCTAAACCCTAAACCCCAAATCGCATGAGGCAGGGGCCCAAGTCAAAGGCGTCCCGGAAGTTGAGGAGGGAGGAGAAGCCCGCTCGGGCACCATCCTTGCGGAGCAGAAAACGCAGGATGCCCTAAATTTAGGGTTTGGGTTGAGGGTTTAGGACGAAACCTTTTAACCCCAAACCCCTCAAGCCCAAACTCCCTAGAACCCCTGAATTCCTGAAAAGGCCCAAGTCCTTCAGCTCTGTGAATTCCAGGGCACACACACCCCCCCGCCGTCTACGATACGACGTTTCGTTTAGGGTTTAGGGTTTTGGGTTTAGGTCGACGGGCTGCCTTAGCCATACTGGGGTTCCGGGTTCGGGGTAACACGGGTTGTATAAACCCTAAATTTAGGGTTCAAGCTTTGGCAGGCTTAGGGTTCAGGGCCTCCTAAGCCTTAAGCCCTCACCCCTAAAGCCTTAAGCCCTTAACACCCCAACCCCGGATTCTCAAGGTTTATAGTTGACGGTTTAGCTGGCTGGTCTCGAGGCGGCTCTTGGCCTACTTTATGGCTTCGTAGCAAGTTTCGGGCCTCGGGGCTCAGGATTTTGGGTTTAAGGTTGAAGGTTCAGTGTTTGGGATAATCCCTTAGCCGCCATAGCCCAAAACGTCCTTGTAAGGAACATGCGACAATCCCAACAGGCCCATCGGGGGTTTGGGTTTTGGGCTCAGGGGTATAGGGCCCAGGGTTTGCAAGAGCGGAAAAAGACTTAGAGGTAGGGCTCATCGGTTTTGTAGATCTGCCCCAGCATATGGGAGAAAAGAAGGTTCTATAAGGGGCCCTCTACGCAAAAGAGGTGACTACTGGGCGACCCAAAGATGGCAGTTGCTTACAAGGTTTAAAGTGTATGCAAGGGCGGAGCCTTGAAACCATTGCCCTCTAAATCCACAGTCCGGAACCCTTAATTCTAACTAAGCCCCCTGTCACCCACACAATCCTTAAGCCCTCAGTCTAAGGAGGGACCCCTAGAAGGGACCCTTCATCTTATCCCCCTATACAACCCCTTTAATATAATAATACAATATTCTATTATATAAATATATATATATAGATATATACAGTCTCCTTTAGTCCCCTGACTCTCGAGCCCAAGCTCCCTGGATTAAAAAACTTCGGGGAGCGCTCACACGCCTCCCCCTCATCCGAGCGCGTGCTAATCGTACTCGGACTCGTCCTGGGCTTCAGCTCAGGGTTCTCAGGTCTCAGAGCCGCCATGACATGATTGATGGTGTTCCGGGGGGATCCAAAATCTCGACGAGATCCTTCGGGACCTTAATGCCACTACCGCTAAGTTCTCGTAGAAGTTTAGAACTGTTAGAGTACAAGCCTTGAACGTTGGACCGCAGAAACGACGATCTGTGACCGACCCATGTCCTTGTACACAAAAGCACCCCGATAGCGACACTAATTTTTAGGGAACCTGCCTTCCAATAAGACAAAGAATCGGCTTTACACCAGCCCCGTTTAGGTCGGGGTTGTGGATTCAAGGTGGAAACCTCGCAGTACATCCCTGCAGCGCTCCAAAGGGTTTCGGGCTTGGGGTGTAGGGCTTGGGGTTTCGGGACCATGGCGCTGAGGTTTGGACTATTCAGGCACAAGGTTCCCAAGCAGCCTAAAATGAGAAAGGGTCTAGGGTCTTTAGGGTTATGAGAGACTGCGCGTGCAATTTCAGAATCCCCGAGGTGTTTCGGAGGCGGGGGGGGGGGGTGCGAGTGGAGCTTTCAGATCGCGCCTTGGAGTGTGGCGAGTACTCCCCCCCTTAAAGCCCCACCCAAATCCATAAAGGCCCGCCTAGACCTAAACCCCCAAAGCCCCCAAATCCCCACAACATACCTAACAAACATTTCCTTCAAGCATCCCCACCCTACAGCTAGCCGATGTGGCATGCTGCCGATTTCGGGCAGGTAATTAAGGCTACGGAACTCTCTTCGAGGTAGGCACTCCAGGGCTACTCGGCGACACTCTCTGTGGGCTTCTTTGGGGTGAGCACTCCACGGACCAGGCGGGGAGACCGGGAGGAGAATGGTTGATGAAAAAACTCTAGCAACCCCACACCGAGGGTGGGGTACAACAACTCCCCTACAGCCCCCAAGGTCCCTACCAACCCTTAACCCTAAAGCATGGGAACACCTAACCCACAATCCCAAAGTGCCCCCCAAAATCCGTCGAGCTGCACAGCAACCGTTATCGCCCGGTCGGACTTGGGCTGCTCCTTGCTTTCGCTGTTGAGGAGTTTGAGGTTTCGGGCTTCTGGGTTCGTCGCGCAGTAAGCTTCAGGGGCTTCGGTTTTTGGGGTTCAAGCTGGGGTCTAGGGAAGTCGGGCTTATCAATATTAATAGCAAGTCCGGTTAGGGGCGATCATTGGGCTTCTTGTAGCCAGAACTGCGGAGCTTTGAAGTGGCACACCTACAAAAAACTCTGAGATTTTTCGGGGCCTGGGGCTTCAAGGCTAAGGGTCGCTTCCCTTTGCCCTCTCTGAGGCTAATGTCTGCATCAGCATCAAAACAGCAAATCCGGGAAAGCGTAAGCCCCAAAACCCTGAACGAAACAATAAACCCCAAAAAATCACAACCCTAAACCCGTGCTTGGGTTTGCGGTGTCCAGCTTCTCAAGGTTCCTTTCCAAAATGTGCCTGCCTTAGGGTATATACGGTTTTGGGGTGTTTAAGTTTTCGGCTTCGGGTTTAAGGGCTGTAGGTTTAGGTTCTGTGGTTTCATAGGGTTTAGGAAGTGGGTTTCGAGGTGTGATCTAAAAATCAATGGCGCGTGTTGTGCTGTCTCTTTGGCAGGCATATTCTAACCCCCAACTCTGAACCCTAAACCCTGTATGGTTTAGGGGTCAGCCCCCCAATCCTCTCGCAATTGGTTACTATTTTGAGGTTCATGGGCAATTCCCAGTAGGGTTACAAGTATGAGTAAGGTGACCGTTTTGATGACCTGGTACGCTAAAAGCCGCCGCCCTGAAACCCGAACGCACGAAAACCTTACCCGAACACCCTCAACTGCATTGCCCCCGCCTGATCCGGATATCTCAAAGCGGTACCGCATGGCAGCTGCAAGCGAGGTAGCTGCCGCCGTCCTGTCAAGTTCTCATGCACATAAGCCTAGGTTTGGGGTGGAGGAAAAATGGTATCAAGGTTATCAAGAAAGCAGGAAATTAGGGAATCCAGAAAGTCTGGCCGTTTTGCCCCCCGCCGCCCCCCCCCCCCCCCCCCGATGCGCGAAGCATTTGCCAAATCTTCTATCTATGTCCCATAGAGCACCCCTTTGGGGACCACCTGATGGCATGCGCCAACAGGCCGATGCAGGACCTAGGAGGCGGTAGCTGGCCAGGCTCCCAGACAGGGCTACGCCTACGCCGTAGAGCTGTATGCACCACCCTCCAATGCATTCCAATGCCACCACCCAGTGTCCTACCCAGACAATGCTGCTACAGGCTGCCGCCCTATCAGCCCTAAACAGGACTTAAGCCCTACAAGGCCTGAACGCCGTAAGAACCATACAAGCCCGACGGAACCAGAGAGCCCATTGATGTGACTAAGCCCAAGCCGTTTCAGCCCCCCACAAAAACTTCATTCTGAACAAGCAATAGATAAGCCTTCTAGCCCTATCCGCCAAAAATACCCAGAATTCTATGAGCCCTCTTAGCCTTATGGACCCCATAAGCCCTGTAAGACCTTCACAGCCTCATAAGCCCGATGAGAAGGTCTGGAAGGCCCTTATAAACCCTGTAAGGTCTGAGTCTTGAGGGCCATACGTATGCCGCAATGGGTTGGCCCTGAACAGCCCTCTGAGAAATATTCGATCTTAAACCACAAAAAGGGTAAAACAAGAAAGTTCCCATTTCTTACCCTAAGCCCCTAAAGCCGCTAAGCCCCTAAGCCCTAAAAGCCCCATGAACCTGAAGCCGCGGCCTGACAGCGAGTTCGGGCTGATCGGACACCTGGGCCGCGCGGTCTAGCGGGGCATTCGGTACGAACCTTATAAGCCCTCACCGGTAAGCCCGGATGCGTGGAGGATTGCAGGGGTGTGGCCTCTAAACCCTAAACTCTGAACGCCTACTCTCGACCTGGCTGAGGCTGAGTGGCCGAAGCTGCAAAACACACATAAAGATTGAATAGGATATAGGGTTCCGGCTAGGCATCCCGAACCCGTCGCGATCATTTCGGAATCCTCGACCATTCAGAGATGATTTCAGCCTTGCCGGTGCACGTCTCGGATTCAGGCAACAAATTCCGGCTTGTGTAGCCTCGCTAAACACAGGACCGCGCAGGGAAAGCTCGCCAGAGAACTTTTGTCTCAGGAGAAAGTAGTTGCGGAGCTCCTGCCTAGTCGGCCTGTACTATCAAAACTTGTGGCGACCAAGCCAATTCGTGACTTGGTGCCCGCTGAGTCGGCTGAGGTGTTGCTTTTCATGGGAGAATGATGCCGGCCCTGCTTGTGGAACTTGTGGCCTTGAGGATGAGCTGCTTCATGGCTTCGACGGTGGCCGTCACTGCCTTCTCGGCGCACGGTTGCGCCATGCCGAACATCACGGGTCCCTCCCCAAGAGGGTTGTGGTCACACTCGGGCAGGACCAACTCTTGGTATTCGGCAGTGACATACTCACGTGTCCTCCTTGTGTACTCTGTATCGCATAAGACCAACGCATCATCCTTGCCGCAGGCAAACAGAGTCGGAACAGCAACTTTTCCGATGGGGTTCGTTGCTGGCTCGGCCGCGGCCAGGGGCCCCGCCTCTCCGTTCATGCCCCCTTGGACGGAGCGGAAGCTGGCAAAGACGCTCCGCGCAGCACCGCTGCCCTCTGCCATGATCTCTGTGGCGCTCAGCTCTGGCGGAAGGGAGAGGATGCCAGGACTGCTGCCCGTGCCCTTCCCAAACGCGCCGTTGTACCACCAAACAGCCTTCTGGAAGGTGCTGCCTGACTTGCCATCAATCTTGTCGAAATAAGCTGGCAAGCCGAGGATAGCATACAGCACGTTGGGGCCTTCTGGTGTCACAAACTCTGTGAAGTACTGGGACTGGACTCGCTGCTGCGATCGCTCGTCAGTGAGGCTCTGTGAGAAGGGAACGAGGTGAGGAATGGACAGCGCGGTATAGCTGAGGATCTTCCCTTCAGCTTCCTTGGACGCGGCCATCCACCACCCCACCACAGCACCGTGGTCGTGCGCTACGAGGTGGAAGGTGTCAAAGCCCTTCGCCTCAGCCATTGCCCAGGCATCACTCTTGATGAGCTCATACTTGTAATTCTGGATGCCCTCCGGAGAGGCCCCCTCCGAGTATCCACGCTGGTTGCAAGCCAATGTCTGGTACCCCAAAGCACACAGCTCCTCTTGCGGTCGCTTGAAAATGGGCTCCGTGGACGTCAGGTCGTGGTCACCGTAGTATGCAAAGTAGGGAAAGCCATGCAGAAACAGGACGTTGCCCTTCTTCTCTGCAGCGGGTGTGTCCTCACCACAAACGACGCAGGTGAAGGTTAGGCCATTGGCCCGTAGGTGGACCCTGCTCAAGCTGCTGTGGGCGAGTTTCATCGGAGGAATCCGCCTAGCTTGATCAGGCTGCACGTTTTCTTCGCCCCCCACACGCACCTGGAGCTGGAGCTTGCTCCCACGCTTGAATTTCTCGGCATCTCTCTCACCCGGCTGCAGCATTAGTGAGCCTGAATATCCATTGGGGTAAACGTCGGCCCATCTCAAAGCAGATACCCCCAACAGATCGTTTGGGCTAGTGCGGTCGATGTCCCACACCTCAAAACGCAATTCGCCAGGGTCGTCACGTCCAGGGAGACCCGGAAGATACAGCCGCTCGTTCCACACTGGCGTAAAAGCTGACACAGTAGAGGTCCACGCCTCGACGCCGCCCACAAAGACTTTCACCATCACATCAGGCGCATTGTTTGTCAACCAGCCTAGGGGGTCCGCATCTCTCATGATGCCATCGGCCCGCTCCATGAAAATTGTGAGAGGGAGGCCGGGAGATGCTGTGCCTCCCGCACCCACTCCTAGGACAAGGGCCAGGACCGAGAGCATGTCTGGCCGCTTCAGCATGACTTGACACGGTTGGCCGGATTGGTGGCGCGTTTTCAAGCGGTGCCTGAGCCCCAAAACACAACGGGTTCAATGGGCACTCGCAGGTCTGGTAACAACCGCAGTAGGCTGCTTGCCTCTACGGCCTAGCTGCCTAAGCTGTCATCCCCTACTTTGGCTTGAACATTGCCTCAAGGTTGTTTGAGGAGTTTGAGGGGTTTGGAGAAAAAAAGTCCCACCAGGCTTGAAGTTCGCAGGAAAACAGCAATCAAACTGCACACCCTTGTGCTTCCTATACACCCTACAAACCCTGAGCGCGCTGAGCCAAGGGCGAGGGCTGCGCTTGAGTAGCACCGCTACTTGCCATCGCATCCACCACCCACCAGGGTGGAGTTTTCGGCGTTTGGCGTTTTGGGGCTGAAGGGATCAGGGGTTAAAGGCTTTGGGGCTAGGGGGGGTTAAGGGTTGAGGGGTTAAGGGCTTTGGGGTTTTGAAAGTTTTGGGAGTGTGGGTTGTGGGCTGGGGGGAGGTTGATCTCACAAAAAACCTAGGGCCCCTTGTTGGGACCCTGCACTATAAGGGAAACGATCCCCCCCCCAACGGGCCCAGAATCCAGGTCCAACCCCAAGTATCTATGCGACGGGATTTAGGGTGGAGGCTTTAGGGTTTAGGGTTATAGGGCTTGCACTAACATGAACTTCTCCGGCCCTGGAGGTTCGAACCCGGACGCGGCGACATGCACCGCGTAAGTGTGTAAAGCCCCTGTCTACTCAAGGCTTAGGCCACCTAAGGTGGGGGGGGCGCCTGGGCCCCCAGCTGTCCAGTAACCTGGGGGAATTAAAGGTCAGCCTTTGGGATTTTATAGGGATTAGCATACCCCCAAAAGGTTAAAGGTTACCTACTCTACTAGCAAGGCTTTCGGGGCAGGGTCAGTCACGACCAGTCGGCAGACCTCTGGGGAGCCGGCCCAAACCCTGGAACCTGGAGGCCCGCTCGTTTTTCTCTTTATTGCATCTCCCACATGTCTTGCACAAAGAGGAGGCAATGAAGACTGCTTCCAAAGAAATTGACGTAATCAAGCCCAACCCTGAAGGAATCGCGCGATGGCCCTCCACTGTCAGGCCATAACTGCGCTTTGTATACTACGAAGTGCTCGAAGCTACTCGCTCATCAAACCTTCTTCTGCGCCATATCGCGACAAAGCCCTAACACCGATGCCACCTTTTCGATCTGTTGCCCTGCTCTTCCAGCCAGGGGCGGCCGGACGAGTGAGACACCGCAAGCAGCGCGCAACGGTGGGGTCAGGAACCCAAGCATCCCTGTAGACTGAGAGTTTAAGGCTTGGAGTCTAGGGTTTGAGGGAGCCGCTCCCTAAAAAAGGAATGCGGGTAGGGTCCTAGATGGTCCTAGTATCCTGAAGCCATTAGCCCCTGGGAGTGCTGGGCGGTTCGGCGGTTCGTGGGGCCTAGTTGTAGGGACTACGGGTCGCGAAAAAAATTGCGAATGGGCAGTTTCCAGTAGAGTTCTAGTTTGTGCACGTGATGAGGGGATGATATTTATATTTATCTAGACTGCAACAGGCTGCATTGGAGATCTTCTACGGGTTTGGTTTAAGAGCTATAAGGGGTTTCGAGCTTGGAGCTTAAGCCGAAGCCTGAAAACCGCCCGTCACCCTGCCAGGCCCATCTTCGCGAGGTTCTGCTTATGCCTGGCTGCTGGTCGTTCGATGAAGGATTAGGTTCTGGTTCTCGTGGAAAACCTTGCGCTATCGCCATGCGAGAACCATCCAGGAGAGCTCCTTCAAAGACACTCTTGCGATCGGTTTTGGGTTTGGGGTCTGCATCATGAGCCCACGAGGAGACAGAGCAAACCCTTTACCAGCAGGCCCGAAACTCTGAACAAAGTCCCAAAGCCCCTTCACCAAATGCCAAGCCCTCGGCACCAAACCCCTAAGCCGCAGTGCGGGGTTCGGGGTTTAGGCAATTTAGGGTACCACGCAGCCCCCAAAGCCCAACAGAGCCCCTCTACCCCTGCTCTGACAGAGACTAGGTTCAGCAGCAAGCTAAGACAAAAGGGTTTTGGACTTGATCCCACTACTGAACCGCTCAACCCTGGCTAGGATCCCTGTGTCCCTGAACCCACACTAGACTCTTCCTCACCCACCCTTAGCCGCGCTAAGCCCCGCAACCCCATGAAACCTCTACACAACCATAAAAGAAAAAAACGGCATCCTAGAAACGTGGATGTGGCACAGATCCGACAGCTGCTCATGTCTGCCTTGTTTCGAAGGGACACCCCACCACCGCAGGATTCGTGGCTTAGGGTTTTTGGGTACAAGGGGTTTGGGGTTTTAGGGGGTCAGGGTTCAGAGTCGGGGTGTGTAGGTCTAAAAGGGCTTGAGGTTCGGGGTTTATAGAGTTCGGAGTTTAGGGTCTGGAGTTTGGGTGTTAGGGTTTGAGGCATAAAGGTTCGGGAAAAAGGGGACGAATCAGAAACAAACCCTTGTTTCACCCCCCAGTCCTCCCCAAATGTCTATAAGTTGATTGGGGGTCGTTCTTGATGAGGAACTCCCTTGTAGCTATATTTATTGGGCCCAGGAACACATGGGTTCAGGGTTGAGGGCTGATGGTGTGGTTCGGAGGCGCGACACGGGACTTAGGATTTGTCTTTGTGGGGGACCGTGGGGTCGTCGGAGCATCGAAAAGACGGAACCGCGCAGAAACGAACAAAATCCTGGAACCCTGCCTCCTAAAATCTCAACCTTCCCTTAAGCCCTAGTTAGGACCCCTAAAACTCTCAGCCATCGTGGTACTGCCGCCGAGGTTCGGAGAGCCTCTTCTGAAGAGAACTTCCGCATGCAAACCTCCAGAAGGCCAACAACCGGATTTGGGTTTGGGGGTTGGCTGCTAGGGTGCAGGCTCTCAGTAGGCTTCGGCTTACTGGAAAAAAGTCCAGTCTTAGGTTTGGGGTCTATAGGGATTAAGGTTTCATCAAGATCGTGTGCGCATGCCATTCTCCTGGCGGAAGTTTGCCTACTTTCACCGACCTCTGGGAATCATATGAGCATGAGCCTATGATGGCCTCTGCCCATATACCCTTCATGCCCTTAGAGTTGTATGCGGAGTGTGAAAGAACTGAGGTTCACTAAGTCAAGATGGGAGGAGAGTCAATGACTAGCAGCCAGGGCTTAGGGTTCGGGGGGCTGAGAGCAGAAAACCCGAGCAGCCCAAACAGCAATCTGTGTACACTTTCAAGAGGGATGAGTGCTTTAAATCTTGGGCATAGTTTCTCCTTTGCAACGTTCAGGGTTACTCTAGGTAAACCCTCAAGTAGACCCCGAACTTTACTCTATAGCAGAACCAGTAACCTGAAAAAGGTACAGTGCTCCTTCTTGCTCAATGCGGCTTACTGGACGTGCTGAAACCCTGAGCAAAAATAACAGAGTATTCTTTATTGTACGAGACCACACTCTAGGCAATCCAGGTTGGGCTTTGAAATCTTCTGAAAATGTTTCTCTCCTATTTAAAGCCTCTTGACCAGTCAGTTGCTTACTGTGGATTTGTCAAGAAGCTCCATAGATTATGCGCCTGCTTTGCTTGCGAGTGGGGCAGTAGCTTTTGCGGTGCATGGTTCGGCATGCTAGCTTTCTCGCTCTCCGTTCTTGCTTAGCTACAGTAAGTATAAGCACAAGTCTCCAAGACCTAGCTAACAATAAACTCCAAAGCCGATCCTAACTTCCAAACCCCCCTAAAGCCCTGAAAAGCCCAAACATCACGAATCGTCCAAAAGCCTAACACAAACCCTTTACAAAACCCGTTAAGAAGCAAAAAAACCCAAAAAGGCCCTAGACAACCCTTGACCCTTGGCCCGTTGAATCCTTAAGTGCCCTAGACACATTGATATTTAATCCCAGAAGACCTCGACAACACCCCTAAAACCAACACAATGCCTCGCAGATCCAATCCAAGACCGGAGGCGCGGCGGCGGGGGCGGCCGGGGCGGCCGGGGCCGCCACCACCTGGACTTTTCAATAACACCGGGAAACAAGGTTGGAAGGGTTCGGGACTTCGGTGGGCGTAGGATCTTTAGGGTTTAGGAGAATAGTTTCTGGTAACACAGACCTGCTGTTAAGAGAATGTAGGGTTTAGATCTAACTGTAACAGACTGGGAGCCCAGAAGTAAACAAGAAGCAAAACCAAACTCCCTAAACTCCCTAAACTCCCTAAACTCCCTAAACTCCTAAACTCCCTAAACCCTAAAGGCCCCAAACCCCCTAAACCCCAAAGCCTAAACCCTAACCTCCCTAAAGCCCCCCAAACTTCCAAAGCCCAGCCGCTGGGGCCGAAGGCCCGGCCGCCGGGGCGGCCAAAGGCTCGGGCGCAGGCCTTGCTTCGGTCGGGGGGTTTGGGGGGTTTGGGGGGTTTAGGGTTTAGGGTTTAGGGTTTAGGGTTTAGGGTTTAGGGTTTAGGGTTTAGGGTGTAGGATATTTGGGGTTTCAGGGGTTTAGGGGGGTTTAGGGGGTTTAGGGGGGGTTTAGGGGGTTTCGAGTGTAGGGTTTAGGGAATGGCGTATATGGGGTGTATGGATATGGGGTTTAGGGGTGTGAAGTATTTGCGGTTTAGGGTTTAGGATTTGGGGTATGGGGTGTTCGGGGTTCGGGTTTAGGGTCTAGGGTATTTGGGGTATTTGGGGTCTTTAGGATTCAGGGTGTGGGCTCTGGGCCAAACGCTTTGGGGAGGCTTTGAGTGGTTTTGTTGGGGGATTGCAGTGTGGACCACGCCAGCATCGGTGGGTTTAGGGTTAAGCTGTCTAGGGCTTAGGGTTTTTTGGGTCACCAGTTGGGTCATCCGGTGGTCGTCTATAGGGTTGAGGGCCTATGACTGCTGCCAGGGCTCGACCCCATAAAGGGTTGAGACAGCTGATCTCCGAGACCCTTACGAACCCTGACCCTAAACCCGAAACCCCTAAACCCCTAAACCCTAAGCCCCAATCCCTAAGCCCCTGCTCCCCCTGGCTTCGGGACCTCGGTGGCGGAGCCAGCAAAGTGACGGGGCCAGGGCGCGCGGTGGCGCCGAAGACCTCAAAGGTCTTTTGGGGCTTTGGGGGTTTTGGGTTTGGCGTTTATAAGGGTTTGGTTCAGGGGTTGGGGATTTTGGGTTCAGGGTTCTGGGCTTGGGGTGTCTTTGATGATTGGTGTAGGACCAAAGTAACCTGCTCATGGGTTAGGGCTTTGGGCTTAGGAACTAGGCTCGAAAGGTTTGCTTCCTGAAAATTCCGGGCCAAGAGTCTGAACCCTAATGCGGGCTGAGGGTGAAGAGTTCAGAGCTTGCGGGTTGTTGTCGTAGGGTCCCGTTTTGGCTGACCCTGCCTCCATAAGAAGTCCTAGTAGCTGAGAGAGGGCACCTACAAGAGGAGCCTCCCGCCCCACCCACACATATCAATGTTCTGCAAACCTACAGGGGGTCTTTCCCTAAACCCTGCTTGCCAAGAACAACCCATCCGTCCTCTCCCAAGCCAGCCCCAAATCCTGAACCTTAACTTACCTAGGCCCTAACTCCCGTAAGCCCTACTAAACCCTGAAGCAATCCCAAGGACATCTAAACCCCCCCCCGCTCCCCAAGCTGAGGGTTTTCCCCTTCTTGGCAAGCCGGCAGTCACTGGTCCAGGCTTTTGCAGCTGGTCTGGAGGGGCCTGGCTGCGGGTGTTTCAAGGTGGCTTTAGGGCTGAAGGATGAGGGTTTTCGCTGCTGGCTTGAAGGTTTGTATCTATCTGATTACAGTAGGGCTGAAGGATGAGGGTTTTCGCTGCTGGCTTGAAGGTTTGTATCTATCTGATTACAGAGCCTTCACGGGCTGTGGGGGAGTGGTTTAGGGTTTTGTTTTGGGAGCTTGGGGTGTTGTGGATGAAGTCTCGCCTGCCCCAGCAAGTGGCAGACAACAAGGTGCCCCTTTTTTGCTTGAGCAAGTGACAAGGGATCCATTAACTTTTCTCGCAAGGGATCCCTGCTCTAAGAAGGAAGAAGGGTGCTACTGGGCGCCTGAGGGGTTCGAGTAAGGCTTTGAGACTGTAGGAAGTTTTAGGGTTGAGGGCTCGGGAGGTTTTGGGCGTTGGCGCATCTCCGTGTTTTTACGTTCAAGGCTTGAGGGGGTTACAGTTCGGCCGCCACTCTGTACTCCAACTTGGGCCCCAAACAAGCGAGAATGAACTCGAACCCTAACTAAACTCAAGCATTCCTCGGAGGCTTGATGCGCATTTCCAGGGTGGCCTCACCGTATCTTTCCAGGCCAGGTTTTGAATCTCACATCCCACATGAGCGAGTCAGCATGCTCCACGTGTGTTTTTTCGTGGACCAATCAATGAAGGAATACGCCTCCATGCATGCCCTTTAGGGTTTAGGGTTTAGGGTAAAGGGCTTAGTGCATTCTGCAATTCAAAGGGTACGCTCTCAGCCGAAGTCGCGGCAGGGATGCCGCTAAGCCAAGCACGCTTTCGGGTGCCTTCCTTAGGCGGATGAGGGCTCTGGAGCTCGTACATGGGGTTTAGGATTCCGATGGGGCCCCTTTTTTATTGTTTGATTTTCTTTTGGGGCCGGGGGGGGGGGGGGGGGGGGGCGGGGACCAGAGCTTTGTGTACCAGAAAGGGCCGGTGCATTGAACTTTCTTTCTAGGGTTGAAGTGCCCTGAGGTTGTTGTTTTTGGTGGGTTTGTGGGCACAGAAATATCACGCGGCAGGTGCGAACGAAACAAGCTCATGCCATGCGGTGCTAAGAGAAGGAACTATGTACTCATATGATTATATGCTTCTAAGTACGTATGCGTATACTGAAACACATAATATACATATATAAATATACATGTAAAAATATACATATAAATGTAAATATAACTGTCAGTATCAATATAAATATAAATAGAATTATAAATAAAAATTATGTGTGCTTATCACTTATAATACCATAGTTACAACATTATCTGAATAGAGAATAGTAAAGGATGATAGTATAAAATACTATCATATGATCATGGGGATTACAATGGAATAGTGTGCACACAGTTTTTCACTGGTAGGTAGCCGATTCTGGGGATCTCTGAATAGTAACATGGATAAACGAGCTCCACTATTCCTTAGTTGTCCAGCAACCTGAGGAATTAAAGGTTAACCTTCGGGATTTTATAGGGATTAGACTACCCCAAAAGGTTAAAGGTTTCTTCTATTACTAAGATTAACTTCAACCCTGATAAGGTCTGGGACATGGGGACATCGGTAACCGTGTCCCTGCCAAGCTCACACAAAGCTGTTCGTTGCACAAGTGGGGACCTGTAGGCACGCGGCCCGCACGCCCGGCTGTACACGGGCGGGGCAGCTTGTACCAAACTGGGAGTCAGACCATGGTAATAACATCTTTGGGGTGCCTTTCCCCGCTATTGCTGCACATTTTGCAGAAACCTGTGGAATCGCCCCTTGCCATCACTGCAACTGCAAGGACAAAACCATTACTTTTTTGACCCCTCTTAGTATGAAAAAGTAGTGGTGGGGGGTGGGGGGGGGCTCTTCCCATGTTTCAGTACGTTTGTTTTAGAATCACGCCTCCTTTAGGCGAAAATGGGCGACCCCAAGCTCACCAAGGAAGTGAGGGACGGCTCCACGCAGGTGGTCTGGCACTGGGGGCACGGCTGGCTGAGGCAGAATTGCTTCACGACCTCGGATCCCCCTTTCCAGATGAAGGGCTTGCTGAGCAGGTCTCGGAGTTGCGACTCGACTGCATCCAAGTCCTCCTGCCGCGGCATGTGGAAGATGAGCTCGAAGATTGAGGATGGAACAGTGGCCGCAGGCATCACAGGCACGGTTCGGTGCTGGTCCTCCAGAAGGTTTGCGGACATGGCGTCGAACTCGGAGAGCTGGAGAGCACTTGAAACATCCCGGACCAGCGAGCCCAAGAGTTGGCTGCGGAAGAAAGAGTTGGCCGTCAGGGTGGAGAAGGCCACAGGGAGGGGGACCTGGAACCTCTGGCTCTGGAAGGGCCTCTCCAGCTGCAACTCCTCGAGGAGGTGCTGGCAGCGGGCTTTGCTCGAAGCACGGAGGCCGCAGCGCTTGGAGCTGCACATGGAGCTGGGGCCACCTGCGCGGGTCCCGTCCAGGAGCTCGTGGCCCACCTCAGGACAGGGTGGACTGCAATCGCCGCAGCTCGCCCGGGTGCAGTTGTACTTGAAGGTTTCGCCCGCCTTGATGCCTTTCAGTCCGTGAGTGACGAGCACTTCCGCAGTATGAATTCGACCACACTCATTCCAATGCTCGAAGTAGCCCGAGAAGCTTTCCTGGCATGGATTTCCCCAATGATCGCTCTCACCTGTCAGCTTCGGGGGCAACGCGCAGTACTCGGACTTCGCTTCTGGCATGTTGTCGGCGGGGCGGACGGAGATAACTTTCCCTGCGAAAACAAAGGGCTCCTTGGAGAGCGCTTGTGCTGGAGAGGCGAAGGCTTCGTCTTGCGGTATGTAGTCTGGCACGCATCTGCAAGACTGCCCAGTGGTCAACACCGCAGCACCTAGCAGAACGGACAGCCAGCTGGCCATGGCGAACTATGACCTCTTCAAGACTTTGCCTTTGCTTGAGCACGTACTCCTACATGGCACTTCATCAACGGGATCCGCACCGCAATCTGGGCCTAGCGGATGAGGTTTCAGCGTTCAAATGCCTAGGGGAGAAGCTTCAGCTTGGTAAACGTAAGCCTAAAATCCCTGCGCACGCCTGCAAACCCTGCAGTAACTAAGCCCTGAAACCCCTAAATCCCCCTAAAGCCCCAAACCCTGCGGCTGCTGCCGCTCGACCGTCAACCCCTAAACCGTCTAAACCGTCCAAACGCCAAATACCTGAAAAAAAGAGTCGCCCCGCACTTAACCTGAAATTCCTGAACCCCCTAAACCCTATTTTGTATGGACTGGCTTTACGAAGCTGGGACACCTCCTGCGCCCCAAGAAAGAACAAAGCCCCCCCTCTTCACAATCTAGGTAACTTCTGACATGATCTCAGTTACAACGGCCCCAAACCCTAATCCCCCAAGCCCCTATCAACCCCACAGCCCAAACTCTAACACCCTAAAACCCCTTGAACCCCGCCAAACCCGCAAACCCCAGAAAACCCCAAGCCCCGAAACCACGAAACCTGAACCCTAAACCCTAAAGCCTAAAGCCTAAAGCCTAAAGCCTAAACCCTAACCCAAATCCTAAACCCGAAACCCTGAACCCCAAAACCTCGAACCCCTGAGGCGCCCCAGCTTCTTCTTCTTCGGCTGCGGGGCCGGCTTCGCAGCTTCTGCGTGCATGGAGTTCAGGGTCTTAGGGCTGGGCTTAGAATTTAGGGTTTAGGGTTTAGGGTTTGGGGTTTAGGGTTTATTGGGATTTGGAGCCTAGAAGGTTTAGGTCCCCCACGGGCTTTTTGAGGGCTTTTGGGTTGCTTTTTTGAAGAAAGGGAGGGGGGGGTGGGGTATAAGTGACAGCGGCCTGGGGGTGGGGTCTAAGCGTTTGGGGTTCAGGACAGAGGGCTTAGGCCTGGGAAAAAAGAACGGGTGTTCTCGGCCCCTACCACCAAAGGTCCTCGTAAATTTGGCTACAGGCCCCAGAGATCTGGTTTTGAAGCAGTTCTTGTTTGAAGCAATATCGTCACTTTCCCATGACCTTGCAGCCAGAAGCACCTAGCCACCCTGCTGAAAGAAACGAATGGTCCCGGAGACAAGTCTCTGGTATCGGCTTCTCACTGGCTCTACAACGAATCTCGGAATCGAAATATGATGACTCAGCCGTAGACCTACATCTAAACTCCTGTCTTACCAAACGCTTTCATTATTTCTACAGCTACAGCCCAAGCGCTAAACCCACGTTGAACCCTCCCACACCTAGTAGAAGAGTGCTTATCGGGTATAGGGGCCCAAAGAAGAAACCCAAATCAGCGAGCTGCCCATTCACTGTAAAGGGGGGGGGGGGACAACCCGGCGCCTGGGGGCTGGCTGGGAGCCAACTTGGCAAGAGGATCTCCGCCTCCAAGCTACGAGAGTTTTAAGGTTGAGGGGCTTTTTTCTTGTAGATTTTTTCCCATACCCAAAGTCAAACCCTAACGCCCTAAAGCCATAAGTCCCAGAACCCTCACTTTTGGGCTTTCGGGAAATGATCTAGGTTGCAGGATGCTTTCCTGAGGGCGTTGGGACGTTCTCGGAGGATCATAAGGGTCCATGAGAGATAAAAAAAGTCATGCGGGCTTATAGGTATGGGGGCTTATAAGGGCAACAGCATGGGCTTACAAAGGGCTTTCGCTTAGCTTTGCAACCGTGGCTCTGATCCAAAAAAAACCTCCAAGGCTCCCGAAGAAAAATAAACCCTCCGAAAGATCCCGAGGCCTTAACACGGGACCTCCAAAAGATCCCCAAACCTTAACCCCTACCAAAATGCCAGTAAACGCCAAACTGGAACCAACTTGAGACACAAAATGTGTTCAAGCACGGTTTCAGGGAACCCAACAAAACCCTACACCCTTGACTTCCGGGCCTGGGAAGTGGATCGGCTGGTGGCGAACTTCCTGCAGCATCGCAGCATCTAAGGTGCAGGGTTCTGGGTTGAGTGCCCCCTCCCCCGGCAAATTAAAACTAAAAAAAACAAGGGCCCTACAAGACTTGGAGGGATTTGGCGTCCAGGGAGTTGGTACCTCTTGCCTACACTTAGAAAGCTTTTTGGAAGGGTTTCAGGCAGGTTCAGATGCACTTATAAGTTGGCCAATATATGAAAAGAAAGACGTACTGTAGGACAGTCTTCCTCGAGTGGGGTTAACCTTAGCCCTAAACCCTGATACTGGCGACCGCAAGTACCCACTCTGGTGAATTCAGGCCTTTCTAGTATGTGGCGACGGTGGGTTCAGGGGCTGGGGTTTGGGATTCTCAGGATGTTTGGGGTCTAGGGCTCACCAAACCCCACTCAAGCATGAGAGCACCCAAAAAGGGCAAAAGGGCACGACTGGGCGAGCAAGACAAGTACTGCTGAAGTGCTGAGACCCCTCAAACTACTATTTGCTTAAGAACCCCCCCCCCCCCCCCAAAAAAAAAAAAAAAAAAACAAAAGGAACAATCCCCATGTTACCCATATTATGTGGAAGAGCATTCTTATTCTTTGGGGGTTCTTCAGCAAATACTAGGGAGTGAGAGCCGCCCTACGCCGACCACGGCCTCCACTGCCGCGGTCGGCTCTGCGCGCGCCGAAGACCTCAGCTTAGGCGGTCTTAGGGCTTAAATTTTAGGGGGTTTAGTGTTTAGGGTTTAAGGCTCAGGGTATAGGGGGGATATAGGGTACACGAACACAAGAACAGAATCATGTTTTTTCTTTGTGATGTTATTTGTGCTCAGGCTCCTGGGATATGTTGCACTAAAGCTTGTAGATGCGAGGGCCTGCGGTGTTCCCCTTAAAACTTACTAGTTCCTGGAGAAAATAGGGCACCCACACATATCATGCATCCCTTTAAGGGGTGTCTAGTGCCCTACTAAGACCCACAAAGTGCTACGTCTCCTGAACCCAGCGGTTGCGGGGTGTTAATTTTAAAGAGTCGCGACTTCGCCAGGCCGGTCGGTCGATGATTTGGGTCTGGGGCGGGTGTAGAACCCTAAAAACGGATCCTACATCTCAGACATCTAAACCCTGAACCTTTTCATCCCAAATCCCTAACTAAACCTTAGATGCCCCGAGCCCGAACTGCACGGACCCTACAAAAAAAGTCGTGCTCAGATGTTCGAACCCTCAGATGCCTTTCCTTCGTGTATCCAGTTCTCTACATTGCAGTTCCTTTGTGGGCTTACAGGGGATAGGGTTTAGGATTTAGGATTTAAGGGTCGAGGGAACCCTTGAAACTTGAGGCAAAGAACTGACCATGTCCAAGCCCCATGTGGGGCTTTCCAAAAATAGTGGGTGCCCTTTTTGGGGGTCTCTTTAAGGGGATTCTAGTCTATTTGGGGTATAAGGGGTACACATATTTTAGGAAATACCCATGTGAACCTGCACAGCCCACAGGGTCTCTATGGACTGGCCATGTAAACCGAGCGAAATTGACTTGGGAACGTAGGCCTCGACAGGTACCCCTCTTGGTCTAAGCCTTGGCCTTGGCCATCAGACCCTAAAGCTCACCCTCTAAAACCCCAGAAAACCCTGTTAAACGCTATCAAACCCTACAAAACCCTATAAACCATAGAAAACCCTATAAGACACGATAAAACCCTACAAAGCCCTTTAACGCCCTATGAGACCCTCTAAATCCTCCATCAACCCGACATGTCATGGACCATGCCCAGGCTGCTGCTCTTTCTCTGCCGGGCGCCCTTTGCTCTCGGAAGCCTGGCCAAGCACCGGGTGGCGCCCACAGGGTTTAGGGTTTAGGGTTTAGGGTTTAGGGTTTAGGGTTTAGGGTTTAGGGTTTAGGGTTTAGGGCTCAGGGTTTAGGGCTCTTTTTTGAGTTGCAGTGGATCAGGGTTTAGGACGGTTGTGTTTCCCAAAGTCTATGGGATGAACCCTTCACATGCCAGTCGCCAAGATTCGCAGCGATAAATGTTTAGGGTTTAGGGTAACCCGAATACCGAAGCCCCCAACCCTGGAGCTCGAACCCCCTGAGCAACACCCTCATACGATAACCCTAAACCCTAAACCCTAAACCCTAAACCCTAAACCCTAAACCCTAAACCCTAAACCCTAAACCCTAAACCCTAAACCCTAAACCCTAAACCCTAAACCCTAAACCCTAGACGAGCCAGCCGGAACCCAAGAAGGGCACAAGGGTAACCCCTGGTCTTCCTAGACACGAAGCCCTTAAAACCTCAACCCGAACCCCCTAAAGGCATGAGGTCAGGGTTTAGGGTTTAGGGTTTACAATAGGGTTTAGAGACCCGAAAGCCCTGAACCTGACTTTGGTTGCAACGTCACTGGTCATGGTCTTGCGCTGCTGCCTTCGTCGCCTCGGGTCGCGCTCGCGCGCGCCTTGGCCGGGCTGCGGGTGTAGGGCTGAAGGAATTCGGGTTTTAGTGTTTGGGGTTTCGGGACTTTATGGTTTTAGGGAGCTAGGGTTTAATTGGGGGTTCAGCAAGTGGGGGTTGTGGGCTTATGGATTAAATGTATATTCGGGTTTGGGGTTCAGGGTGCGACGTGGCTTCGGTCGGGCGAGTCTCATCCTAATTGTCCCTATTGCAGAAGGTGTCTACCAAGAGACCCTAGCTTTGAACAACCGCGTTCTCAAAGGCCTGGATTCAATGTGAATATCCTCAGCGCCTCAAAGGGTCCGGTCCAATCGCTTTAAACCCTCAACTCCTAAATCCTCTATTCTATAACCCCTATGTGTAGGCCCTTGTTGTCGATCCATCGCTGGCTCCCTAAAACTAAAATCTCGAGGGCATGACTCGCGGTCGCGTCCCGGGCTCCTGTTAGGGTTTGGGGAGTTTAGAGCTCCTAAACCCTAAATCCCTACAGGGTGTTTGGGTCTTGCGCCGGTGTTTTCGCAATTTCTGGTGGGACTGACACGGTTTGGGCGTTGATCCAGGGCTTTAGCTGTGTTG